GCTTTAGCTTCACCTTGAAAATCCATCTGACGCTGATGGCTTTCTTGTCATTTGGAAGCTTAGCCAACTTCCAAGTATTGTTTCTTTCAATAGCCTCAAGTTCTTATTTCATGGCCTTCAACCAAACTTTCTTCTTGAGGGCGTCTTATGTACTTACTGGTTTAGAGTCTACTACCATGGCATACTGAATAACCTCTCCCTCAGAGTCTATTTCAATATCTCGCATCATGTTATACTCTTAAAATCTTTTCGGGATATTTTTAACTCTCTGTGGCCTCTGACCTCGTTCAAAATCTCCTTCAGATGCTATAACCCAATAAGTTATATCTTTAGAATCTTCTCCTTCAGAAGCTCATGCTTTAGAAGGTTGACCTCTTACAGAACCTTGACACTTCCAGAATCTGGAATATTCCCAAAATCTGAATCACCACCAAAATCTGAATCACCGTCAGAATCTGGATTAGAATCATATTCACCTTTTGAGTCTCCTTCAGAGTCAGAATCACCATCAGAGTCTACTATAGCTTTAGAATCTTCTCAGCTTCTGACTCATCTTCAAAAACTTCTAATTCTGACTTTTCTTCAGAAGTTCTCACACCAGAGTTGGATTGATACTTATTAATTTCTGATTCCTTTACAATGAAGTCTCTGTTGAATTCAACTTTATTAATTTCTAGACAATAAAGCTTGTACACACATGTATTGTGGTACCCCACCAGTAACATCACTTTAGTTCTATCATCCGGCTTTTGTCTTCTAACTTCTGGAATGTGTTTGTAACATACAGAACTAAACACCTTTAGATGGCTAACACTTTGCTTGTCTCCAGTCCACTTCTGAATATGAACTATTTCCTTCAGCTTCTTCGTTGGACATCTATTGAGCACATATGTTACGGTGGCAACAACTTCTCCCCATAAGGTGTGAGGAAGTGTCTTCTCCTTCAGCATGTTTCTCGTCATATTAAGAAACATATGATTTCTTCTCTCAGCAAGACCATTATATTGAGGAGCAGAACCTCATGCTCAATTTCATTTTCCTTACAGAACTTTATGAACTCGGTGGAGTTATACTCACCTCCACCATCGGTTCTGAGAATCTTCAAAGTCTGACCACTATGATTCTCAACCTTCATTCTGAATTTCTTGAATTCAAAAAATATCTTGTGTTTGAACTTTATAAAGGGTACCTATGTCATCCTTGTGAATTCATCAACAAATGACATGAAGTATTTTTTCCCTCCAATCGATGCTACTGGAAATGGACCACACACATCAGAATGCACTACTCCTAATGGATGTTTTATTCTTGAAGCTACTTCTTATGCAAATGAAAATCTTAGTTGCTTTCCTTCCATGCACACGCTGCATGACTTCTCATGCTTCTTAATTGTAGGAATTCTATGTACCAGCTTCTTCGAATTTATACGCCCTAAGCTTCTGAAATTCAGATGACCAAATCTTCTGTGCCACAACTCACTTTCCTTCACAACACTTGTTGCACTAAGGAATTCAGAGTCTGCAGTTTTGACATTCACCTTGAATGTTATATTCCTTCCCTGTTCTTACTCTATAATCAGATTTTGATTACAGTCATACAACTTCAAAAGAATGTCCTTCATGGTAACTAAAAAACATTTCTCAATTAGTTACCTTACACTCATCATATTGCTTTTCATGCTAGGTACATACCACACATTCTGAATCAATATTGTTTTTCCATTGTTCAGAACGACTCTGACATTTCCCATACCTTCAGCGTTAAGGTATTTATCATTAGCACATCTGATATTTGTCCTCTTTCCAGAGTCAAAGTCAACCAGTCATTTCTTATTTCTAGTAAGATGATTTGAGCAGCCAATGTCCATATACAACTAGTATGCCAAATTTGTATCATCAGATTCAAAAGCCATAAGTAACACAGATTCATCATCAGAATCTCGTTTGGCTACGTTTGCTTCTTCAGACTTCCTTTTCTTGTTTGACCAACAATCAGCAACGGAGTGGCCAAACTTCTTACAACAGTAGTACTAGATCTTCTTCTTGTCATATCTCTTTTTCTCTTCTGAGCATTATTCTACCTATTAAAAGTTGATGTTTCTGACTTCTGAACACCATCAGATCTTCTCTTAGCTTCTGACCAAGACTACTTCTAATGCTTCTCACCAGAAGCTGCTTTTAGAGCATGTTGCTCTACTTCTCTTTCAGGAGTTCTCTCAGTCAGATGCAACTCTTATGCTTCTGGACTGTTTTGCAGCTCTTCAATTCTCATGGTGTCTAGTTCCTTATAATGTTATATTGTTACCACAATGTAATCAAACTGAGGAGTAACAGATCTCAATACCATCTCAATGATTACTTGTTCAGAAAGGGTTTCTCCACAAGCTTTCATCTCATTAGCGATCATAATCATTATGGAGATGTACTCAGATACCTTCTTATTGTCCTTCATATTGAGATTCTCATACTGCTTTCGTAGAGACGAAAACTTCACCTTTTTCACTGATGTGTCACCACCGTAACACCAAACTAGCGTGACCCACACAACCTTCGTCGTCGTCAAATCAACAATTTTCTCAAACACATTTGCATCCACACATTGATGGATGTAGAACAATGCCTTCTGATCTTTCTTCCTCAGATTACACTGAGCATTTATCTGCAGATCAATTACATTTTCTAGAAGTGCAACTGAAACGTAATCATCGTTGATGAGATCAAGAACATCTTGAGTACCAAACCACACGCACATTTGAATCATCCAACCATTACAGTTCTTGCCATCGAACAATGGAAGCTTGGTGCTTAGACTACAGTTTCTGTTCATCTTCAACCTTGTGCAAGTCACTCAGATATCACCAAACACAGTATGTTTCCCAATTCCTCAAAATCAGAAAATGTGATTCTGTTACGATTCAACACGAATTCAAGAAACAAAATCAATCACACAACGCCTCACTGCTTCACTCGTGTTTCATGTGTTTTCTTGTGGATCAGAACAGAAGCTCTAGATACCAATTGTTAGTGCACAAGGTGAAGAAAACAATAAAATAGGAGAATATATTTATTGTTCTACAATGACGACTACAAAAATTATATAAAAAATAAATGGATAAATTAAATGACAACTACTACTAATATATTTATACTCAAATATTAAGACCACATAAACAACATATTAAAATATTAAATTACTCTTCAATAAATTATACTTTGACTTAACATATTCTCACCCATAATAAAAGAGAAAACACCTTCTTCTTTTCTAAGAAGATCCATGGTTGGATGGAGATTCTTTGCTTACTAGGCTCCCTAAATTGGAAAGTTAGTTGTTGATGTTTAGGTGAAGGTGAGCAAGACTAGCATAAGAGGTGGGGGTTTGAAGGAGTAGATTTGGTGTGGGAGGAAGAATTGTTGCTTGGTGGTTGTGATCTTATAAATAATGTTTGTTTGCAACCTAATATGTTTGACTGTTGGTCTTGGAAGGGAATACATGAAATCATTGCATCTTATAAAGACACATATAAACGTCTTTCTTTTTGTTTGGAGGCTTTTTATTCCGAACGATTTTAGATTTTGTTGTTCATCAAATTAAAAATTAGAGGTTGTTGTGGTTTAAGGTAATTTTCATAGCTTTTGTTTATATTTTTAAATTGTAGTGAAATAATCTTATATTATGTCTAGGTTTAGGTGCTTTTTAGGGGTTAACATTTCTAATTCTTTTTAATGTATTTGATATCTTTGTTTGTCTTGTTGCCTTAGTATTTGCCTTATGAGTAACCACTCTTTGAATCGCTGTTGCATGACTCATCTAAATTTTTTATTAGAGTAAAAGTGTCTATTTTATCAACCATTTAAAATCATTTAATTTATTTATAATGACATCTCATATTAGAAAAGGTAATGCATGATTTCATGAGATACTATGAATAAACACGCTCTTCTTTTTTAAATGTTGTTTCGTTAAAGAATTTTTTAAAATATTTTTTAATTCAAAATCATATCAATTTCTATAATTAAAAAAAGTAAAAATAAAACAAAATAAAAAAGAGAGTAATAGTATATAAATAATGGTTGCTTAATATTGTTTCCAAATCAAATAAAAATCACATGACAGCTGTTAGTTGTAGCACGATGTTGAATATAACTTAATGAGATCACAAACTCACAACATTCAATTCAATTCAACAACATTCATTCATTCATAGCCTCAAATTAAAATAAAAACAAAAACAATAAAATCAAAGTCGGTTGCACAAACCAACAAAATTCTTATACACCAAACAGAATAACGTGTTTCAATCTCATTTTCTTGCCGCTAATCACTTCCCCACGCGCTCTTTTACACGCGCCATATTTCCACAAAACAACGTGGGAAACAACAAAGTTCTCGAATCACTCCTCTTCTACTTCTCTTCTCTCTCACGTTGCCACTCCATCAAGAAATCTCTCTCTCTCTCTCTCTCTCTCTCTCTCTCTCTCTCTCTCTCTCTCTCTCTCTCTCTCTCTCTCTCTCTCTCTCTCTCTCTCTCTCTCTCTCTCTCTCTCTCTCTCTCTCTCTCTCTCTCTCTCATTCATTCTGCTCCCACTGATATTATTACAAACGGTTGAGCCTTAAACAACTCACATCTGGTTTTCATGTATTTCGGTATCTTCTCATTTATTACTTCATACTTTCTTATTAATCAATTCACGATTTCTAGTAATATTTCGATTTTGCTGTTTTTTGATAATCTAACAAACTTTTTTTGTATCTGTATTATAAATTCTGTTCTTTGTTCGGTTTTTCTTTTTTTAGCTAATTTTTTGTTTCTGCTGTCTGTCAGGATAACGTTGGACAGGTTCTTCGATGGTGATTTACACGAACTAAAACCACTTCTTGTCTGGCATTAGTTTGTTGAACACTTCACGATACGACATTCTTATTGTTTGTTCCTTTTAAGGACATACATTTTGTGTCTCCATTTGGGTTTATCTTTTTTTGTGTGTTGCTGATTCAAGATGTCGAAATTTGAGGGTGTTATTGTATCTGATCAATTGCTTCATAGCCAGTTTACGCAAGTTGAACTTCGTAGCCTCAAATCAAAAGTAAGATCAAATTCCTGTTTTCTTATTCAATGGATGTTTTCATCCGATTTCATTACTAAGTTTGATGTTTTGCATGTTTTCCTCTGTGGTGGTGTAGTTTGTGTCTTTCAAAAATCAGAATGGGAAGGTTACGTTTGGAGATTTATCATCTTTGATGATGAAGCTAAAGGCATTTGTAGATATGTATAGTGAAGATGAGATTAGAGGGATCTTGAATGAATCTGGTAATGATTTTGCCAATGATGTTGATTTCGAAGGCTTCTTGAAGGTATGTAATTTTATGGTTTTCTCTCTTTTGTTTTTGATATCGATGGAAACATGTGTTGTTTGAATCAGATAAGTAGATGTTCATAAGACCGCGAGAGATTGATCACAGCGTTCGTTCGATCAATTATGACTTTATCCAACAATGCCTAGGGTTATAGACTATGAAGTTGTGTTTAAATGCTAGGAAAATGGTTTATGTGTTATAGAGCATTAAACATAATGCATGTTGCTTAATGTATGTATGTGACCTTTATGCAGGCATATTTGAATTTGAGAAGCGGAGCTACAACGAAACAAGGTGGAAAGAAGCATTCCTCGTCATTCCTTAAGGACACCGTAACTACCCTTCTTCACACGATTAGCCAATCAGAAAAAGCGTGTTATGTTGCTCACATAAACAGCTACCTCGGCGATGATCCATTTTTGAGTCAATATCTTCCTTTGGATCCGGCTACGAATGGTTTATTTGATCTTTCAAAAGATGGCATTCTTCTGTGGTATATAAGCAGGGTCTGCTGATTTTCGTGTTTTACTTATGTCTATACTAGACTTTAATGTAACACCAGTTTTGATATATGTCATTGTTATTGCAGTAAGCTTATTAATGTTGCTGTGCCCGGGACTATAGACGAGCGAGCCATCAATACGAAACGAAATCTTACTCTTTGGGAGAGAAATGAGAACCATACTCTATGCTTAAATTCGGCTAAGGCTATTGGCTGCACCGTAGTTAATATTGGCACACAGGACTTGGTTGAAGGAAGAGTGAGTTTTTGCAATCTAAGCTCAGTATAATCTTCTATCGACATTGACTTGAGCTTCTTATAGTTTCTGACATTATTGTTTGGTTGTTTATGTTACAGCCTCATCTTGTTCTAGGATTGATTTCCCAAATCATAAAGGTTAACACTTAAACTTTATAACATCATTTACATTTTTTCCTTTAGTTTGGTTATTTGAATTTGCTTATATGTTGCTATTATTAATGGCCTAATAGATTGTTTGAATATGGAATGATTATATGGCCTAATAGATTGCTATTATTAATTTGCTTATTATATGGAATGATTAATGGCCTATTATTTGAATTTGCTTATATGTTGCTTATATGTCGCCGGTATTTTCAGATTCAACTTTTGGCCGATCTCAGCCTTAAGAAAACGCCTCAACTTGTGGAACTGGTTGACGATAGCCAAGTAATGAGATGTTCAACTTTTTTCTTTTATATTAAATCTATTCCAATTAAATCAAATTTTGACTAACTGATTAATCTTACTTTTTATTGGTCTCAGGACATTGAAGAGCTTCTTAATTTGTCTCCTGAAAAAGTTCTATTAAAATGGATGAATTTTCATCTCCAGAGAGGAGGTTACGAGAAAACCGTAAAGAATTTTTCTTCTGATTTGAAGGTTTGTTTATATATGAACACTTCTTTAATAACATTTTTATTGTTAGGAATGTTTTGTACTCTTAACTATCTTACATTTTGTTAGTATTTTTGTTGTAATTATTCGTGTTTGTGATCACAACGAGATAAAAGTAATTCTAGGAAGAGAGTTATGAATTCATGTTTGCTTCTAGAATATGAAACTAAATCAAGATATTATGAATTCAAAATCCTTATGTGATTTTTGCGGATGCATCTACAGAATGGAGAGGCTTATGCGTATCTTCTTAATGTCCTTGCTCCCGAACATTGCAATCCATCCACCTTAGATACTAAAGATGCCAATGAAAGAGCAAATCTTGTGCTTGAGCATGCAGAGAAAGTGGGCTGCAAAAGATACCTAAACTCGAGAGATATTACCGAGGGTACCTCGAATCTTAATCTCGCATTTGTCGCACAATTATTTCATCACAGGTATTAAATTGTATAACTAATATTTTTCATCATGTTTATTCCTTTTTGCACAATAACTTCATCACAGTTATGAAATAGATTGTGTAACTAATTTTATTACACAATACAGGAGTGGCCTATCGACAGATACTAAAAAGATGTCGTATGCTGAGATGATGACAGAAGATGTGCAAACATGTAGAGAAGAGAGATGCTTTAGAATGTGGATCAATAGTCTTGGAATTTCTACTCGTGTAAATAATCTATTTGAGGATGTTAGAAACGGGTATGCATAATTTCATGTTCTTTCGCTTTAAATCATCACAATATAAAGCTATTTTTATATATATTTTCAACTTCCTTTAATGTTTTTCCGTGTAGATGGATACTTCTAGAAGTGCTAGACAAGATTTTTCCAGGATCAGTTAACTGGAAACAGGCGACAAGACCTCCAATAAGAATGCCATTCAGAAAAGTCGAGAACTGCAATCAGGTCATAAAAGTCAGTAAACAACTGAAATTCTCTCTGGTCAATGTAGCTGGAAATGACATTGTGCAAGGAAATAAGAAGCTAATTCTTGGTATTTAAATCATCAATCAATTAGTACTGCATTGTGCGTGTTGTGAAAACAAACTCGGTCTTCATAGTGTAATGATAATTTGTTCTATTTTTTCAGCTTTATTGTGGCAGTTGATGAGATTCACAATGCTTCAACTGTTGAAAAATTTGCGATCTCATTCCCAAGGAAAGGAGATCAGTGATACTGATATCTTGAAATGGGCCAACAAAAAAGTGAACAGCGTTGGCAGAAAGTCTCATATTCAGAGTTTCAAGGTTTTTTTTTTAATAAGTATTCTCTTTTATTTCAAGTGAAGTATGCGCTGCGGCGAAAGATAAACGATGATTTATTTGTTAGTGTGACACTATTTTCAAATGAAATTTTATGTTCAACAGGATAAAAGCATATCAAGCGGATTATTTTTCCTAGAACTTCTGAGTGCTGTAGAGCCAAGGGTTGTCAATTGGAACCTAGTCACCAAGGGTGAAAGCGGTATGATTCCATACAAATGCAATAGTTACCATTGAATAAACCGTCAATAACAATTGCTCAATCTCCTATTTGGTCTCTGAACTATCATCTTCTCCTATTTTTATAGTTCATGGACCAAATAAGAGAGAGTATGATAGTTAAGGGACTAAATTGAATGCTTACTCGATATCATTTTGCTGAATTGAATTAATTTGCGGTTGCTTCTGAAATTATAGATGATGAAAAGAGGTTGAATGCCACGTATATAATCAGTGTCGCTCGAAAGCTCGGTTGTTCCATATATTTGCTACCCGAGGATATCATGGAGGTATAGTTCCAACCACCAGTGTGTTCATACACATCATCGAACATTACATTATCGAAGTTGTGCTTAATTTTTTGTTGAACTTATGACAGGTTAATCAGAAGATGATTCTGACTCTAGCAGCCAGTATAATGTACTGGAGTCTCCAACAACAGACCGAAGACGCAGATTCATTTCCTTCGCCTGTCAGCACTGTCACTGACGTAACACCGGAAGCTTCCCCTGCCCCTTCCGTCTGCGGTGACGATGAAACATATTCCTCCCTTAATGGTGATTTCTCCAACTTGAGTGTTGACGATACCACTTCCGATACAACAGTCTCTTCACAGCTCGAGTTTGATGGCGGAGTTGTCGAAGACGAGTTATTTTGAGTCCTGTTTGCAAGACTTCCATTTCACAACATCCATGAGATAATGTTTTTGTTAGAACCAGAATGGATATATATAATAGCAAAGGTTGAGACAAAACTCAAACTACATGGTAAAGATGTTACATGTGTAATGTACAAACATATAGAATAGAATAGATGTGAATAGTATGTACAAAAATTTATTGTTCTTTGAAGAGAGGAATGATTAATGAGAGGCAAAATAATGAGAGATGATCGAGGGTTTTAATAGTTTAGACAACAACTACGTTATAGTTGGATTCTTCTTTTTATGTAGGTTTCATTCCACTATCCTTCTTTTATAAGCAAATTTTAACATTTTAGATTCATTAAATAATTAATGCATCTAATTTATATATAGTCTAAATATATTATTTATTGAATGAATCTAGAAAGTCAAAATTTGTTTATAAAAGAGAATGGAGGGAGTATAATATTCAATTTAATATACTTAAAATTATACAGAAAGAGCAAGTAAAACGGGTGATAAACTTGGGTAATAAAATGCGCCACTATTATTAATAAAGAATTGAGTTTGATGAGTGCATGTAGATAGGAAGTTAGTTATAAACCAAAGGCTTTATAAATTAGCTCATGTATATGTCTATTCAAATATAAGTCATCTTTGTTTATAATTTCTATTCCACAACCAACTCAATCTTTATGAGACTACTGCTTGACGATATAGAGTTTTGAATCTAATTCAATTAAACAAAAAATAGTTGGAGGTTGAGGATTGTTTGGTGCAATTATAAAACAATTGCATAAAGATAAAGAAAGTATTTGAGTGGTTTAGAAAATATATGAGTAAATTATGTTAGAGATAATGTATGATTTGACTCAGTAATAACTCTGAATTACACTGCAACAACTTATTGTAATTAACTAATTATTGATTCTCTATAATGTGTACTCCTAAGTCCTTAGTGAGAAAATCTTTAATCATTCGCCCTAATTCCTATGTCCATAGAGAATTACATATGAAATTAAGCGATCAATAATCAAGAATATTCTGGTTTCTATAAGATATCCCTAGTCCTAGGTGATATCTACTATAGAATGATCCAAAGTAAAGCATTAACAACGACGGTCCAGCCTAATCGTTAATCGAAAATCAAACTTTGTTTGTCCGACAAGACAAGCATTAAGAACAGATCAAATTAATTATGAAAAACAAAGAGATTGTTATTGCAATACTAATATCAGAGTCATTACAGATTCAAATTAGGGACACCCCCTAACATTGGGGGTTTACCTACTCATAATATTAAAAAAAATACAAAGTAAAAACTAGACATTACAAGATAATATGTTACTTTAATCTTCAATTGCTTCCGCTTATGAAAATCTTCAGTTCTCCAATCACCTTGATCTCTCCAATCTTGATCGTGTAATTCTTTTTTAGTAAAAAGTGTCTCTTCCCTTTCCTCAAACTCTTCTAAATAGCAAAAACTCAAATAATAGTAGGTAGAAATCCCAAAAATGCCCTTCAGGTCAACATTCAATGGAAAGTCATAAAAAACGAAAAAAAATATCAGTGTTTAAACTAACACGGGTCGTGTCAGCTGACACGGGAGGCCGTGTTGGCTCCCTGCAATTTGTACAAAACTTTCTCAGTGCCGGACATGCTGACACGAGCAGCTGTGTCAGCCCCCTGGTTCCACACTTTCTTCTTCTTTTTCCTTGGCACGGTTCCTCCTCCTGACACGGCCTGTGTCAGGTGACACGAGTGGCCGTGTCAGGCCTCTTGTACTCTAAATTTGGGTTTCGAAACTTTTGCGATTTTTTCTAATTTTCACTCTGATTCTTCCTGAATGCTTACTTGAACCTAAAAACATTAGGAAGACACAACCAAAGCATAAAATGCGGTAAATGAAAATAAAATGCAACTAAACATATAAGAAGTTTTGGGTAAATGAAAATAAAATGCAACCAAAGCATAAACACCCATCACATATTTTATATCTTCTCTTACAAATGTTTAATTATCTATTGTAGCGGATACAAATTATAAAGTTTGGGGTGTCTATTAAATTGAACTATAATTTATAATGTAAGCGAGATTTGCTTTACCTTTTATAAAGCATACAACACTTCTGCAATGTGAGTGAGATTCGCTTTAACTCCAGTAAAAAAAAAATTTTATTCCCCCCTTATAATATCAATATTTTCTCTGTAAGACCCCTATGCGCATTATTTCAGACCAAATTTTCTTATTTTTTCAGCGTGGCATATATGCTAATGGCAGGTGGGTTAAATATTATAGCGTGGCATATATGTTTATATTTTTTTCCACATTTTGTAATTGTATTATTTGATCTCCGTTGTAAATGTTAGGGTTTCAGGCAAGTTGTGTTGAAGACGAAGACGAAGGCTAGTTGAAGACGAAGATGAAACTGAACGGTTGAAGACGAAGACGAAGCTTGTTTGTGGACTGTTGAAGACGACATTGAACCTTATCACGTTTGAGGTAACTTTTTTTAATTTTCTTCTCTTCCAATGCTTGAGATTCTGTTGGGCGAAGACGACATTGAGCTTTAAATGTTGTTTCAAATCCATTTCACAGGATATGCAAAATTTTAATGTGAGTTTTCACCATGGGGTGAATTTATATTTGTCAAGCAGAATGACATCATTTACAGAGGAAATATCGATAAACATGTTTATGGGCAACACATACACAAATGAGCAATAGGAAGCATTTATAAGTTGATGAATGTGTGGGGTTATAAAGAAGGAACTTATAGGTTATGGATGAAAATTCTAGAAATAAATGAGGATTTCTTTCAGATATTGAAGGATGATGATACATACAATTTTGTTGTATATGCTTGTGCAACTCCAGTTGCTGGAGATATATTTGTAGAACATGATGTTGATGACATAGAACTGAGTAAAGGTTCTTAAATGTGTTAACGGGGTGACAGATGTGGAAGGATTAAATGATGAGGTGGTTGAAGGGTTAAGTGATAGTGAGGATGATAGAGTTACTGCTCTTGTAGATGGATTTGATGGAGTTAATGCAACTGTACCATAAATAAAGGGGAGATAGTTGCAGGATTACAAGGTAGGCCCAGCAAGAAAACTGAAGATGATGAATATTATAGTGATGAATTGGACAATTCAGATCTAGATGAATATGGTAATGAAGAAGGGTCCAAGTTTAAAAGGTTTAGGATAGAGCAGCTCAATAAGGACTACAAATTTAAGTAGGGTATGAAATTTAATTCTCTTGTTGACTTTAGGGAGACAATTCGTGAGTAGTCGGTGTTAAATGGTAGGAAATTACATTTGTAAAAAATGAGAGTTATAGGAGTAAGGGTAGAATGCAAGGCTAAATGTGATTTTTTAGTCTTATGCTCTAAAGTGGGCCACAAGCATACATATACTATTAAAATATTGGTGGATACCCAGACCTGTACTAGGGTTTTGAATAATAGATCTACAAGCTCAAAGTGGGTGATTTGGTGTAGCTTATAAGTGGGTGATTTTTTAGTCTTATGCTCTAAAGTGGGCCACAAGCATACATATACTATTAAAATATTGGTGGATACCCAGACCTGTACTAGGGTTTTGAATAATAGATCTACAAGCTCAAAGTGGGTGATTTGGTGTAGCTTATAAGTGCATCAAATGTGACAAGTTTGGGCGCAGTGCTTTGTCATGCAAAAATCCTTACACAAGACATTAATGCTTTGAAGAGAAGGGTAACATAAATTTTATTTGTATGCATTGCATTATGCTGTTTTAAATGTAACAAAAAAATTATTTATATGCATTGTTCTATTTTGAATGCAATGAAAACCAAAATCTGAACAGGCTAGAGCTGAGCCAAAGTAGAAGAATGTGCAGAAAAATACTGATGTACAACCATTTGTTAATGTTGATGTGCAACCAAATGTCCATGGAGATGTGCAGCCTGATGCAAGTCAAGTTGATAACAAGGTTGATGCAGATAACAATGTTGTTGCAAGTCAATCAAGCTCATGTGTGTTTGACACCAGTCAGACTGGTTTAAGTCAAGTACAAGCAAAACAAAATAAGGAAAACAAAACTTGTAATGAAGATGAGAAAAAAGCAGAGTGAAAAAATTAAGTTAAGATGCATTCAAAAATCAATCATAGGTCAGAATTCATCTAGTGACCATCCAATCACAGTAACAAAACATGATGAAGGAACAAGTACACAGGAAAAAAGTGCTCATGGACATGATTCAAAGCTTGGTGTGCTAACCAGATTGATTGAAGTCTTGGAAAATAAATAAATAATAGTTGATGAACTCTATGTCCGTATTAAAATACTAGTAGTATGTTTAAGTTATGCTTGTACTGATGAAGATTATGTGCCATTTTGTTATCTCAGTAATGATTCACTTCATGTGCCATTTTGTCAATGATTTATGCACTCTATGTGCTACTTTGTAATGATTTATGCACTTTATGTGCTGCTTCGTAATGATGTTCCATAATTATTTTTTTTTAATTTTGCAGACTACAATATCAAACAAGAATTTCAAACAAACTACAACGTCAGACCACAATTTTAACCAATGCCAACGTTTTCATTATATAAAATGTCAATTGATACACTCATACATCACAATAAAAAGATTAATAAACTGATATAACATTTGGTACACAAGATTACATTAACTTAACAAAGATTTAGAACAAAATCCATGACATAACAAGTGAAATCATCAACCAATGGTTTTTGTTTTTCTCCATTACAAGTTTTTTCTTCATCTTTTCAAGCTTTTTTAAACTGAATTCTACACCAAACTTCTTGCCAATTTCAGTCCCAACTTTCCTGCCAATGTCCTATGCATATTCCCTCAAATACACCATAGTCATTTCACATTCACAACATTTTCTAGGAATCATTTGAGTCCTTTGAATCAGACCAACCTCATCGTCCTACATGAAAAACTCACAGCTTACCCCACTCTGTAATTAGGTTCACAACAAATGTAAGAGTTAAAGT